CTGTATTTTTATAAAAGGAATAACAATTGATAGTAGTGTAGTATTTGTGATTGGCAATGGCAGTGAGGGATGGTTACAAAAAGTAGATATCATTTTGCTTGTGACAGGAGTTAGAACTGCAGATAAACTGAGAAGTTTGTTTGTTACTGGGTTTAGATGAACTAAGCACTAGGAATGGGAGCTAAAGTATTTGTATGCATTTTGTTTGATCAGTAAGTACGCAAAGATAAGAAATTAGGATGTGGGGCTTTTGAAAGAAACATAAAGCATTAGTGAGTTTATTCTGTATTGGAAGATCTGGCCCAAAAAAAAAAAAAAAAAAAAAAAAAGAGGAGGTTAGCTGCTATATAGACCTTGCATTGCCAACTAAGTTATTTGGAGAAGATTAGCACTTCTCAAAAGATACTCACAGTTCCAAGGTCAACAGCCAATTACTTATTAAGGCTACATCAATTAACATGGTTTGAATAAATGGAACAGCTTCTTTTCAGGAAGAGGGAATCAAAGTGTAAATTTCAAGTAGAAGAAGAGATTGCAGTGTATACAGGTTTAAAATGGGATAGTTATTGCATCATCTTCTTGCATGAATTTCTGAGAACAGCTGAATAACAACAAAACTGGCACTTGGCTTTTGCTTTAATCAAATCTTAAGAAAACAGAGACTTGGCTTTTTGCTGTGCCACAATCGCAGTAATGGTTAGTGCCTCCCAACCTTATGGATACTCACAGTTTCTAAAAGAGTAACTGTGAAAGCCAAAGACTCTCTTAGTGAAGAAAACAGTAGTGTTGGCTGTCACCTTGGTGGAGGCTAGAGCAGACATTTTGTTCCTTTGCTTTAAGAGGAGATGGAATGTAAATCAATAAGAAAAAAAACAATGCAGAAGTTGGTTTATATCCCAGAAGATTCCAAATTAGACATACATTTTTTGCTTAAAAGAGATTGATAATAAAAGATTCCTAGATTCTGTAGATAAAAATGGAGACAGAAAGGCATGTCCACAGTTTATGAAACATGTTTTAATCCTCTTCTTTTGCATTCGTGCCTGATGATCAGCTTCTCAGTGTGATTTATGATGCCAAGAATCCAGACCATTCTGTCTCAGGTAATGACAACCTCCTTTGATTTCCTTTTCAAGTCACTCACTGCAACTCTGCTATCATCACAGGAAGTGTTGTCATGCAGTTAGGTTAATAGTTGAACTTATGTAAGCAGTCAGAAAATGAGCCTTATTGTCACTTCTTCATTTATAGCTGTTCCCTTTTGAGATCTCTGAGACTGATCTTCTTGAATCTGAAAAGCAACTAATGGCTTTGGGTGCTTTAACAGAGTATTGGCAGAACAGGAAGAGTTTGGCAGATATACACATTCCCAGCACAAAAATTCTTCAGCCCTTTTTGTTGCCATAAATATTGAGTCACTTGAATGCAGGCAGCAAAGTTTGTCTAGATTTGTATCCATGAAAAAGTGACATTTGGTGCAGCCTGGAGATTATTTAGCTTCCTTTCACCTGAATTCATTTTAGCTCTTGGACTCCATTTAATTGCAGTATTGTTTAGAGTTACAAGGATTTGTCATAACTCTGTGCTTTGGATTAAGATAGGTTGTTATGAGTTATGCAGGAAAAAAAAGTCTGTCACTCCACCTACATAGGACATTTTCTGGATATATGCAATTAACCTGTCGAATTACTCAGATTCCTGTTAAGCTGTGATGGGTTACTTCATTTGCTGCAGTCCATAAATATGAAATGAAAGGGTCAAGGTGTGTTAGCTTTGACTTTTGCTTTCCTGACTTTTTTGACTTTGAGGTAGTTATTGAGAACTTTTTAGTATATTATATGAAGACTGTCTGTGGGAGTGTCTGTTCTCATTAGCTATTTCATCCTATACTGAATGTCCATTACAATAACAATAATAAATATCTTTTTTTTTACATTGGTATAGTGTTTTTCAGAGCAGTGCAAAATACTGAATGAACCTCATGCCATTTTAATTTGTCAATCCTGGCTATTTAGCTCCCTCAGAGTTATCACAAATATTTTACTTTTACATAAAGAAGAATAGCAAAAATATCTATTCAGTTGGAAAATGCTGATGTTTTAAAATGGTAGTGACTGTAAACTGCTTTTCTAGAGCTACATATTAAATATCTATTGTTAAGAAATAAATGATATTCTGCAGTGCGATTCAGGATAGAATAAGTCAAGTAGAGTGCTATCTAACTTTCAAAAAATAAATTTTGGGGACAAAATAATAATATAGTCATAGTAAATTTTTCATATATTAGTAGCTGAACTCTTCAGAAATGACTGAATACAAAATTCCCAATAATTTCAGAGTGTCATGTTTCCCATTGCTGTAAATGTATTTTACAATAATCTGTGAGCATGGCAGTAAAATCTTTTGCTTGCCAATAACTATGCACCAGCTCCCCAGTGTTGGAGAATATTTGATACAATTGCCTACGGTTACTAATACTTCTCCTTTCAAATGGTATTATTCAACATTAACAAACACATCATAATCAACCTGTATATCCTTCAAAACATGTAGTTGATAATGATACATTTGTACTCAAACATGTTTGTATGTTCTAGGCTGGATGGATACGTTGCTTACATATAACGTAATCACACAGCAGTCTTATGCATGCATATATATAGTTAGTATGATGATGAAGAAGGGAAGAGTTTCTCATTTGATTAAATAAGGAGATTGTGTTGATTGTGCATCATGAAAAGAAGACTAATAATGTCTATGACCACTTCTTTTTGCCTTTTTGAGGTCTCACAACTGACATCTCCCTTTCCTCAGCTGAAATTGCTCCTCAAAGTTACATGGAGCTAGACCCTCTCACTGCCTTGTGTTCCCATGGGTATTTCTGTTAGTGAAGAATGACTATAAAATGGAGTGAAAATCCAAATCTCACCATGGCTGGAAAAGTGAGGCCAAGATTTTCTCAAGTAAAAGAAAATAATTCTTGGTTCTCATGAGCTAAACTGATGTTCATCAAAAATATCACCAACAATTAGTGTAGTAAGCGACTAATTAATTGAAATTAAACTTAATAGTGATTTTTGGTACAATCTATTTCTTTAGGAGATAAGCCACACCTCTGATGAATGCAGAGTTTGCCTGTGCTTTTTCATTAAAAATTAATTTATACAATAAATGATATTTTTATTGGTTTAATTTTTAAATTATTTATGATTGTGATTGTCTGCACTTGATCTGCAGTAATCTTTGCTCAAGTAGAAAAGAAGATATTAGTTTTCTTATTGTTTTTTCCTTTTTACAGGGACCTTTCCATGTACTAATCTATTAGCTCTCAAATTGCTAATGTCCTGCAATCAGTCAAGATATTGCTTAGACTAAAGACGTAAACAATACTATAGGTTCAATTATATATCCAGAATGATTTAGTGGATTAGCTGTTTCTTTGCACACTTTGGCTGCAATTCAGTGTGGCCTGTTGTTATTTATTTCATAAACCTCCAATTCTTTTAATTAATTTCACATAGAACTGAATAGAAATCAGAGTTTTCAGTTTATGGGGAAGTCTGCTGCTTTGAAATGTGTGAGTCCAATGGAAAATAAGCAGTATATAAATTTGTCTGAAAGCAAAGCAATGGTAGAATGATTGTTTAATATAAACTGAAATATTTGTTTTCTTTTAACAGCTAAGCTGTTTTTTGGAAGAGCTAAAAAATGAAAGTGGTTCAATTTCAGGGAAGGAGAACTGATTACAACTTTTAAACAAGTTTAAAAATGTGTACAGAGATAAAATAGTGGTAGCACATACACCAGCTCTTCTAGGAGCAATAACAATTTTCATATGAATAATCATATTGTTCCAATTTGTAATGAAATGTATTTTCCTTATAAAAAAGTTTTTCTAATAGTATGCCTGTAAGATGAAAGTGATTTCACAGCAGATGTGCTATGAAATTTATTGCATTCACAGTTTTTGATTTAATAACACACTAGCAGAAAAATGATGTATCAGAGTTAATTAGGTTATGTTCCATTATATATTTTAAGGTAGATTGTGATTTCCTGCCTTACATTGGACCCTCAGTGTAAATAGAAGCAACCCACAAACCCATTAACTTACACAGTTTGTTTTCCAGAGGATATCTGATCATTTTGAATGTCTCAATTTTTTATCCTGTCCATCTATATATTGCCATTGTATAGTGCTGCACCTCCTGTATAGTCATAAACCTTTGCATAACTGTGAGTTTTACTGTATCAATGTAGAAAATGAAGACTCATATTGATTATAGGTTATTTATACAGTGCTGAACAAAATCCCCCAACCAAAAGGTGTAGTACATTAATTTCTACATGATAGACAATGGTAGCATTGCCATTTTAACTCTTGATTCAGAGCCAATGGTCAAGCACTTGAAGACAGCAAAAACACATCTTCTGACAAACCCATGGTCTTCCTAAATCCTACACAACAGAGAAACTATTTGCTGTATCTAAGGTTTGCTTAGATTTAGAAGTCAAGTTCCTTATGAAAATAGGATTGATACTAAAAGTAAATTAGTTTCACCAAATGTTGGAGATATAAAAAATAGGTGACTGGTGCAAAATAACTTAGGAAGAAACACATCTGGATGAGTGTTTTATTTAATTTATCATGCACAGCCATCTTAAAATGAAATGAGTCATTCACTGGCACGGCCCTCTCTCTCCACACACACTACAGGGAAAGCTAAGCTTTGATTTGAGAGTTAACCCTAGGTGGGTAAAACCAGTAGAGATAAAATCCACATACAGAAGTTTAAGGGTTTTTTGCTTCTTCTGCTCAGAAATTCATTCTTCAGATTTTAGGAAGTAAGGATATATCAAGAAGAATGGAACCAGAAAGAAGGAGGAATAACTGAGCACCACACTCCTCCTAGTCACAATTTCCTGGTTACCTTGTTGATTTAGCCTCCTTTTGCATGCTGGTTAGCAATCAAATGAAAGCTCAAAATGCTTTACCATACCTGATTGTGGACTTTGTTTGGGGATTTTGGCTGCTGCTTCGGGGCTGGAGGTGGCACGCACACGCTGATTGGCAGAATTGTGGATGCTACTTGGGACAGCTGCTGAGATGTTTTTACGAGGTTTCATGTCTTGCAACCACATTGGAGATGCCTCAAAGGCTTGCATTCGCCGAGAGTGGCTGTTAGCATTGACTTTGAGAAATGCCTGGGCCTTGTACTCCTGAAGGTCTCCATAGTTGGCATCGGTTACCCTGCACTCATACAAGCCTTCATCCTTTTTCCTCACTTTTGAAATCTGCAGCTTGTGGGAGATGTCATTCCCTTGTACTTTCACTGTCTGCAAATTTACCAGGAAAAGAAAACAAAGAAACAAATATGTTGTCAGGAATTTTTCTTTCTCTGCAAACTCTACTGACTCTACTGACATAGTGCCAAATTAATCAATGGTGTGATTGTGCTTTCTGCAGGGAGGTTACATCAAGGATGAGTATGGCTAATTCTGTCGGTGAGGATGCCTGACATTTTCTTTACAAATCTGCTTAGATGGTTTGCTCTGAAATATAATTAGTCTCAGACAAACAACCCACACTACCATGCTCATTTCAATTAATTGCTTAAAATCATGAGCATTCTTAATGAGCTTTCTTATGTAAACCTAGTATCTGTGCACTTCATTGGTTAAACCTTTCCAGTTAGCTGGTTTGATTGAATAATTCAGTTTTTGAACTAGTGGATTAACAATTTTACTGGAAATGTTTGACAAGATTTAAACTATGTTAATAACTATTTATTAAATTAGTTTGTACTCTTCAATACAATGAAACTGTATATTTGACATTCAGTTTGTCTCCTCAAAGTGTATGCAAAGTCTTGGTATTTTTTGTCTGTTAATGATAACAAGATGTCTTGAGTCAGGTAGACCCTTTTGTCTAGTTTATGTAAGTATGTACTTATTAGGAGTTATATATCAGTACATTTTAAAGATCGATTATTGGCAGATAGAAAAAGACTCCTGTTTTATTCTTAATTGCTTTTAACATTTGAAGGCAACATATCTTTGTTTCATATATTTAAAACACATGAGTAAATTATACATTCAGAAATATGTGATAGGTATTAAGATGCATTGGGAAAAGTTAACACAGGTTCCTTCCTTTATATTCATCACTTTAGAGAATTTATATTTCATTGTTGTTCTCTTAATCTCTATCTGAATTAATATCTGTTTCACCACCAGAAGCCAGTTAAAACATGTTCAGTGAGATCTAAAACTGGCTTTGAAGAACTGCTGAACCTGGTTTACTTTCACTGTTACGTAAACATGGATGTAAAGGTTGGTTTGTGTCATATCAGGAACAGGCAATAAGGAAACATCAGGATGATGAATACATGGTAGTTCACAAAAGTGAAGAACTGTTAGATTGAAGCTAGGCACATGTTATTGGTGATTGTAGAACACATTGTTTCTGACAGCTTGGCATACTATAGTCACCAGTGTTGGCAAAGCACCTATTCTGCCTGCTTGATAAATTGAGGAGCAATACTTGTGAATATGTTATTGCTTTAAGGTGCTGGATGGACTTTATAGCCTGTTGTGTTGTACCCAGCTCTGAATTTGTACTTGGCAAACTGAGTTGAAAGTATGGATTGCACACTTACAAGCATAATGTATGTGATATTAATTATGTGATCACATTAATAATGTGATAGCACAGAAAGTACTGAATAGTTATTTAAACCATATCCAGTAATAATATGTCTCTACTGAACAGTTCATGTTCAGCAAAAGGATTAAAGAAGTTTCATATGAATAGAAAGAGGATGCATAGGTCATGTTTTGCCTTCATTTGCTTCCATACAATAGCCACAACATTAACAGTGTTGCATAGCACTGGTGAGAAACAGTTTTTTGACTTTTGCATTTGAAATTTAGAAATTGTTGCTGGCAGCACGTATGCGTGTTTTCGGTTTGTCCCTGATTATAATTTAAAACTGATAAAGAGGTGTATTTCAGCAAACATTCGATATATTTTAGCATTTCTTTAAAGATGATAATTTACAGGAATACTAATGGAGACGTAGTATGTCTTCAGAAAAAAAGGAAAAAAGCTACATTTGCAAAAAGTGGATTTAGACATATATGAAACATTGACTTTCTTTTTATTACAAATGTAAAATAAATGTTTTATGCAAGCTTATAGAAACACTATAAATACCCCATCATGAATTATTATCATACATAATGAAAGAGATTTGTTACTTCAGAGATTTTAAAGGAGTCAGTATTGATAAGTAATGAATTGTCTGCTAGCCTTGTTTTTAGTGGAATAGTATCCAAAGACCACATGTGGACCTCATTTGTAAGATAGTCTACAAGTATAACTGAAGATACGGTCCATGACACAAATTGTTTATAGTGTATGGTGAGAAGTATCACAGGAAATGTAAGTATGGCTAGAATAAGTATTATTTGAACATAGTGTATCTCAATTCTCATTTGCAAATGTCCTTCAGCTATATCTTGCTGTACTTTGACCTGATCTAATTATCTGTTTAGTTATTTGTAGCCACCAACAGCATCAGAGTAAAAGATTTAAAAGAAATTATTCACCTCTATTTACTGCTGTTTTAAGTTTTGCTGGTACTTACAGCCTTGGCTGCAGCTAAAAGGCACTTCCAAAGGTATTTTGCCAGAGAAAGGGAAAACCCCTCTGGGCTCATAGAGAATACTCATGCTGCAGCATCTGCTAAGTATCTGTGTCTTTCCACTGCAGTGAGCACCACACCATGACCCCACCACTATACATTTCTTGGGATGCTGAGGGAGGAGGGTCTGAGCTATTCTGAGGTCAGAAACAGCCCTCTGGCTATGCCTGTCTCAGGACCTGGGTCTGATGAGGAAGAGATCCTTTCCCTGGACAAGGGCTGGAGCAACGCTGCTCATAATTCTGTTCAGACAACATTCTGGTTTAATCTCCAAACAGCAGATTGGTAACTCTGGTGTCAAAATCTTACTTTCTTAAAACAGAGTCTCAGGGGCCAAGAGTGGAAATTACGCCCAAGAGGGAGACCAAAGTCTTTCTGAGCTTTCTTTCTGCCAAAGGGCATGGCCCTGGGAAAGCACCAATTTAAGCAGTTGCGCACCCCACTAAAGGGAAGTGGAGCTTCACAGACAAATTTAAGCCTTAGAACCAGCTTTGGAGTGCTAAGGCAGGCTCAGCAGTTGCCCAGGGTAAATGAAAACAAGAGGTACAAGGAAGGATGGGTGCAGTGCTTCACAGAGTCTATCAGTGGTCTACTGCCTGTGCCATGCTGGCCAATGCCTCCATGCCCAGGGATGTGGGGGGCTGCATGGGGCAGGGATATCCTGGCACCTTGCCTGTGCCGGCAAGGAAGAAGTCAAAGCACCACAGAATCAATTATTTAGGTTGGAAAAGACCTTCAAGATCATCGAGTCCAACCGTTCAGCTGCGGACTGCCAGCCTCCTGCAGCCTGCGGCGCGGATGGGAAGGAGACGGGGGGCAGGAACAGACTCGGCCCTCCGAGGGATGGGCTCTGACTGGGGAAGGGACGCCCGGCCGGCGGCGCGGAGGGCTGCCCGCGCCCTGCGGCGACACTTACGCTGATCTTCGTGCCGTCGCTGTCCAGGTCCCGCTCGGGCAGGAGCTCCACCTGCAGGGAAAGGAGCGCCGCCGTGGGTCGCCGGCCCCCGCCCCGCTCCGCGCCCCGATCCCAACCCACCCGCGGAGCCCGTGGAGCGGCGCGCCGCGCCTGCCACCTGCGGGCCGCGCCGGGCACAGCCCGGGACAGCGGGGACGACCGGGACAGCCGGGATGCGTGGGAGAGGGCAGCTGCCCCGCGGACAGCCCGCCCGCCCCCCTGGCGTGGGCGTCTTTTCGGGGCAGCTGAACGCCTAGACCGGTGCGGAGCGGGCAGAGAAGGCGAGGAAGAGCGTCCCCAGATGGCAGTGTAAGTGGACATAGCCCCTCCTGTCCCGCTCGGAAGGATGGAATTGCGCAGTTGTATTATTCAGGGGTTTGTGCTGCTTCTGGGGCATTTGGTCCCTCCTGCTTTCCCCACCCCCGCCAACCGTGTGCCCTCCTGTGGCAGCTGCATACGGCTGCCAAGTCGACTGTGCTAGCTGTAAATTGGAGGGCACGTGTAGGATCTTGCCACTCGGGAAATAAAAAATTCCCACAAGGAGCAGTCTTTGAACAGCTGCTTTCCAAAGGGAAAATCTAAGAGAGGAAAAGAACAAAAACAAACAAAAAAAAAAGGGGGAAGAAAAAACCACAAACAAACAAAAAAAACACACCAAAAAACCACCAACCAACCAACCAAACAAAAAAAACACACCACAAAAAAAAAAAAAAAAAAAAAAAAACGGAGGGGAAAAGAATAAAAAAATTAGACTTTGAAAAATCTGCATGGTTTCATGAGCATCCCTGTCTGCGTTCTGGGAGCGACAGGCACCAAAGGCACCATCCCTTGAGGTGGGCATTTTTGTCTGCAGGTTCCTGCACTGTTATTTCATGGTCAAAACTAAGTTCCTGGAGAGATACAGAACCTCTCTCTGGTCCTTCCCTCTGCTCTCCCTATCTTTCCTTCCCTTACCCCCTTTCCTCTCCTTCCCTTTCTGTGGCATTCTCCAGGTGGTTTGAGGAATCTATGGCAGAGGATTAGTACCTGAGTGCCTGTCACCTCAGCTCCAGCCTCTTGGTCCTCAGCTGCCCGCAGAAACCACCACTGGATTTCGAGGTACACCGAAGTGGAGCCACTTTGGAAAGCACAAGACATTTCCACGTTCTGCCCTTCTGTGGCTGTGACATTTCGGGGAAACTCCGTGAATTTTGCTGCAAAATAAATGCATAATATGTTGGGATCTCTTTCCACCTACTGATTGTTTATGCTCTATATTTTGTGTTGCCTTTTTTTTTTTATTTGTTTCTCTCCCCCTTTTTTAATTTCTCTGTTTATTTTTCTCATTCTCAGTCTTCTCCCCACCCCCAGTTTCCCACACATTATCTTCCCTGGTTTGTCTTACACATAGATATGTTTTTACTCCCTTATGCACAAATCCATCCTCTTTACACTCTCAGTTCTGCTCGTGGGAAATGCTATAGACCCCCCTGCTTGCACCCATGGGCTAGTGAAGTTTCACATAATTAGGTCCGAATACCCTCGGGTAGAATGCAGTATTTCACCAGATTCACTGAGAGATTTTGTGCAAGACCAATTTAGGAGAGAAAAAAAAATTCAGACTGATTTATTGTATTTTGTAGGGCTGACCTGGAGACCTGTAAATTGTTAAATCTCCTGCAGCCAGCTGAAGCAGCTATTGGCAGAGGCACCTCTGGACACTCTTCTGAGGTGCATATTACAATCACTCATCAAATGTCCATTTCAAATGCTTTGTCTGAATTAGTTACTGTTTCTGAGAACCTCTGCTTGCAAAGTTATGTATAAACAAACCAAAAATCAATCTTCTCTCAGTCCTAGCAGACACTTTCTATAACTAACCTTGACATTTGTATCCCAACCCTTTAACAAACAGAATCTGCCCATTTCTGCTAGGTTTAAAAACTAATCCTGATAGACTTAGTCCGGGGCATCAATAATTGTTTAAATCTCAGTCTTTACTTCCTTCTCATCCTTTCCTATAACTCACTTTAAAATTGTGCAACATAATGAGTCATGATAGTCAAGTGAGGGGGACTACAGACAAACAATGTAATAAATAAATGCCGTGTTTCAAGAAGAGGAAATTTGGAAAGACACTGCAATGTCGCTTTCTGTTGTTTATTGTTAACAGATTGACTAGAGCATATTATGATGCGAAGGAGATGCGATGCGAAGGAAATATTGCTCGTTGTCTCCTCCCCTCTTCCTCTCTATCCAGTCGTCCTAGCCAACCTGGAATTGGTGGGATAATTTGGTAACCAGTGTTACTTCTCCATCCCCTTTTATTTGTGCCTGGCAACACATACTTTCAAAGCTACTACCTTCATATTTCACAGTGTCCCCTTTTCCGACCCCCACCCCCAGCAGTCAGCGATTGCTAGTCACCGAATTAAGCTACCAAATGGACTGTGCATTATGCGTGTCCGGGGCTAGTAAGTTTGTTTTGGGTTTGGTTTTATTTTCTTCGTGTTTGTTTGTTCGTTCTCTCCCCCTCCTGGTCAGTGTGCGTGAGCGGTGCGGGGACACAAGGAGGGGAATACAGACGGCATCCCCCCCAGCTGCACCGCCAAACGCAAAGCCAGAGGGGAGCTGCCGGCAGGGAACGGCGGGCAGGGAGCAGGGGACGGCGGGCGGGGGGCGGTAGGAGGGGGCTCGGGGAGGAGGCACCGGGCGAGTCAGCGGGCAGCGGGCGAAGGGGGCGGCCCGGAGCGATCTGTCCATGGTGCTGACAGCGTCGCCACAGCCTCGGGGTCCCGAACAACCGGCTCCTGCAGCGCCGGGGCTGCTTGAAATGCAAGGCGCGCCTTTCGGCAGAGAGGGAGGGAGGAAGGCGGCGGGGGTGGGGGGAGGTATTCAAAGAAGTCGATTTTGTCTTTTTCTCCCATTTTTGTTGGGGGGGGAATGGTAGAAATACACAGTCACAGAATCGAAATGAAGGTCTGACTGAGGGTTGCAGGATAATAAGAGAGGAAAGGGAACACAGCACGAAAGGAGACCGCAACATCTTGGGGGAAGCAGTAGGTTTAGCCATCCAGGACTTGGTCTAAATGCAATAATTATGCATGCACGGGGAGGTGTTTCTTGTACGCATACCTGCCTATATACAAACAGGCAGAACGCAAACACATGCATGTCCGTTCCCCAAAACCCCTTTAACAGGCGAGGTGCCTGCAGTCAAGTAAGGAAGCCTGTTATTTTTCTACTTTGGGGAAACTTCTCACTTCTTTTCCTTTTTACAGACAATTTTTTGAACTACATGTAAACCTGATTCTTGTTGTCCTCATCTTTATCCATTTTGGTTGTTTTCCTTCTTTCACCTTTCTTTCTTTCTTTCCTCTTCCCCCTCCCCTTCACAGCCCCCTTCCTCCCGAATCTGGTTCTCAGTCTGTTTTAGCATAGAAAACCACGCACACACATTTGACAATAAGGGATCTTACCTTGGGTAGAAAGTCCTTGTTGAATATACATAACCGAAAAGAAAATGAATCCAACATAAGCTAGAAAGATCCCCATCATTCCAAGATGAAGAAGTCACATCAGGGTAAAAAAAAACCAAAGGTACCCTCAAAAAAGAAAGAACTGATGTGTGAGTGTATGTACGTATCTCTAAATATATGAACAGAAAGAAATTTGTAATGTTACAAAAAGGCTCTGTATTGTAGCCCTGGCTGCGACACTGGCAGCATTCTGCTACTCGATGGAGTCTTTTTCCTTGAGAAGAGCGAGTATTGCAATACAGTGTGGTTCAGATGAGCTGTCTCAGGCGCTGTGTTGCTTGAAGTCCAGACTCAGACTAAAAAAAACACAAACCGTTGAAAAGTGGGTATCAGCTGCCTTCTGCGCCTTTTTTTCAGCTACCTGGCAGCTTCGTCCAACGTCAGCTCTTGCTGCTCAGGATGTCGTGATGACTGCCCTCCCTACACACTGATCCAGCTTGGGAAGAGAGGAGTAGGGGAAAGAAAGGAGGGGGAGGGGGAAGAGAAGTCTACCGTGCTTGCATTGCTTCAACTTTTCCCTCTAATGGCTGCGATAATGTCTTTAACCCTTCCCTCTCCCGCCCCATTCTCTACACCTCTCTACCTGTTCTGACTTGTGCTGGTTCTGATGCTGGGGTAAAGCCGCGGGGTTTTTGATGCAGGTTTTTTTTTTTTTTTCCCCAATAGTGTACAGTTAATGATTGTAGAGAGAGCAGGGACCCTTTATTGTACTGATGTAATCTTCGTTCTTACATCGCAAAATACACAGTGGCTAAGAGGGCAATGCAGTGGTTTGATTTTTGGTGAGTTAAGCTGTTTCTGTTTTCTCCTTTTCCTCTCCCTCTTACAGGGTCTGAGGGGAAAATAGTTACTCAGTAATCCTATCGCACGCACTACTGCCTGCTCCAAATAACTATGCTTCTAGCATCCTACATTAAAATGTTCTTCATTTTGTCTTCAAAGACAGATAAAGAGGAGGATACTTAGAGTGTGTTTAGGTGGCAATATACAGATTTCTGCAGAAAAAAATACTTAGCTAGATACAAATGGATTTTTATATGTTACAGATTATTCACAGTAATATATATATATTTATGTACACCAGAGAAGGTGTTTACAGTATATTAAAGAATATTTCCTCCCGCAGTGAATGTTTTCTTCCCTGTTTCCTGTTTTCTGCCCATGTATATTAATAATGTTTAGACAAGACAGTAACCTTGACTGTATTAGTTGATCAAAACACCCTGAAACACATCTGCACTGAGAGAAGTTCTCTGACTGAAGTCGTCCTGCTGCTTATAGTAAGAAGCCATCTAGAAAGTGCTTGTTGCACGAAGCAATCACCAAATACCTTCTTAAGGCTGAGACAAAGACTAAATAGAAACTGAAAAGAGCACCTGATAATCTCTCAGACTGCCAAATAGCTGAATGCAACTGCTAATAACAAACTGAAAAAAACTACAAGCCATACCAATTAAGAGAATTTTATCTGCATGGGCAATATGTTTTTCTGGAACAGAGCAGGTTCTATCCTTCCTGGCAATAGAAGTGCAGCAGTTCCACAATGGCACAAGATGCAACTTTCACCTTACTCACTGCACCAGCCAAATCATTGCATGCATACAAGACATCTGACACAGCTGCAGAGATCTCTTTCACAGAACTAATTCTAACTGACTAGAAAACAACCTTTTTGTCTAAATTTTTTTTTTTAATGACTGCATGAGTTTCCATCTTTGTTTATGAAAATAAGGGAGCCATTTCCCCATGGTAATAGCCTATTCCACTGTTGTCATATATAAAGTATAGCAATAATTCTGAGTCAAAAATTAGTAAAATAAATTAACTATCATAAATCAAATAGGAAAACAATTATGTTACCTGAAAGATTTCCTATTACCACAGAGTTTTAATTACTTCAGAGGAGGTCATGATATATATATTCAAAACCAAAGAAAGCCTGTAAAACAAAAGAAAAATTCTAGTCTTTAAAGGTGGTGGACCTGAATTATCTGAAATAGCCAAGAACTGTCACTGATTCAGTAATTAAACACATACTGTAGAGGTCTTTACAGGTTCAGATGGTGAATGTTTCAATAATTTCCATAAAAGAAATCAGTTCCTTTTCAGATTGGTAACCAAAATTCTAAGTCACTCCTGAAAATGGAAGCTGATTATAGGATTCACTTCAAACCCATGTACGTCATCAGTAATCAGTTAAAATTACAAATTAGAGACATAATAGCACCAACCAAGTTAAATGTAAATTAGACAGGAGGAAAAAGAATCTAAGCAGTATTACCTGTTTTAGAAGCAAAGCAGAAAACAAAAGTAGATCACTTTTTTTTTCTCTTTTATTTGCCTATTCCAACTCAAGACACTTGATAGGTAACTTTAATTTTATCAGTTTGTAATTTAGAAAGAAGAATATTTCTCCCAAATACCCTGTAGTCAATGGAACTAATGAAAATTATATTACTGTCACAGGGATGTACAAAATAATATATATGGTTATTAAAATATCAGAATAGAGAATGTATTAGGAAATGGATTTAATGGAAAGAATCTTAAAACTTGGTTACATATTTATTATTTTTACTTTATTTATGTGCTGCAGCAAGCCATATGATTCTGCAAAACACTTTAAGCAGAAAGCAAAAATAACCCACCTCATGCTATTAATGTTAAAATTCACTCTGATGGATGTAGATTCTCCACAATCAGCCATGCTGTATGAATCTGGACAGTGAATATATCTAGTTACTTGGTATGAAATCTCTGTCTTTTGTGCTGTAGAAAGAGTTTTGATGTAGCCTAACTTAAGTGTACTTTATGACATGAGTGATATGCTTTATGTGAGGTTTCCAATGCATTTTTTCTCCCTCTCAATGACTCTAATAGATGAATCATCTCTGGACACTCTCTCAGGTCATAGCCAGAACATTCATGCACAAGGGAATGACTTTTCAAATATGCCAATCAAATGTAATAATAGAAGACCCATTTATGATGCTGTGGAGTTGAATTATATAGATTTCTTTGTATCTTACTACTACTTCAGTGCATATTCCAGATCAAATGCTCCTTCAAAATCTTAAATGCCCATGCATGTTCACCATTCTGCCAGCTTGCAGCTCCTAGATCTATTTATCTGTTTTAAGAAAAAAAATGTTTATGGAGGTTGATTCCAAGTTCAATAAAGGTTAGAAATGAAAGCTATTGTGCTGCTAGTCAGCAATAAAGTTGGAGTGCTTTGGTCTCATAAACACATGGACTAGTATGGGCTGCCTAGCCCTGCAAGAAGCTGATCAGCTGATGACTGAAACTATGACTGAGTGTTGCCATCCAACAAGCTCAGTTAAAAAGGAAAACAAAAAAAGTTACCTTTTTAATATTTTTGATATTTTGACTGGTATTTTCAGCTTTTTTTTTTTTGGTCATTATTTCAAATCTTTACTATTTAAAGGGAAAATTTGTATCATCTGATGAAATTTATAACTTTTAGAAGTTAAAAAGGAGGTTGGTCCTCTTTACTGAGGATTGCTCTTTGGCTTTGTTAACCCAAGAGCTCATATGAGCCTCTTTCAGGATGGCATTGTTGCCTCTTGCCACTCCCCCTGCAATTAGAATATGGGGAAACAGAAGAAAGGCAAGAGAAAAGAAAGATTTTACAAGGAGACAAGGCACCAGTGTAGGGGCTGAAAGTCAGAAAATGTCAAAACGAAGTTTGTCCATCCGCTTATTTTGTTCATTTCATTCACAGGCAATTATGACCTTCTTCAGGTGAACCTCTCTTATTCTGGACTTTGGCTCATACTTCACTCAGCATGAGCCAAAATTCTTCTGGTATAAAATGGCTTCTTGCTCAGTCCCAGAAAATAAAAGATACTGTAGTATATGATACTTATACTTTACAAGTATTGAAAGAGAATGGATGCCTTCATCTCAGTGCAGCTAAGTTCTGGCTTGGAGAAGCAGACCCTCTCTCTGACTGCCAGAGTTCCTGAGGGATACTCCACAGTACCTTACACCAGATGTTTCACAGACGTTCAATAACAGTGTGCTTCTCATTTCTGAATGCCTGCCTCAGGATCCTGATGATGGTTGAGATGAAGAAGCACTGAGCAGTCACAGCTGCAATTAAAGTGAATGGATGCTGTGATTGAAGGTGCAGATTATTATAAAGTGTGACAAAACCCCACAATCTGGACCCTGGGTAGCTCAGCATTGATTGTTGTCTACGTGTCTCTGCTGCCTGTCTGTAAAGGGGAATATATTACTGTGTCACTTCGGAGAGGTATTGTTAAGATAAATTAACCTTCAGGAGGCTCTCAGAGATTTGCATGATGAGCATCATAGGGAAGCCCAGAAGAAAATGCAGAATTCTGCCTTCAGCTGAAAGTTTGAGTGGTGTGCATGGGTGAGGCCTAGAGACACACTCTGAACAATAAAAATGAACAAAATGTCAAAGAACTACTGATTAACTGAATTCCATTCTTTACATACTCTTAATGAGGTGGGGGAAGATCTAGAAAAAATCCCTGTCACAGTATATTTAAGGACTACATGATTTTGCATATGAAGGCAGGTAGTTTAAGACTTGCTTTGCTGTCTCCTGAGTACTTGATTTTGCAGCTTTAAAAATGTTCTTTCAGTACAGCTTTTGTCTTATAGTAGAACATTTTATAGCTCTTTACCAGTTTCTCTCTCTACCATTAGGTAGCTGGGAAAAAAGGCCACAGAACCTTAAAATGAGACTTTAGGCATCAATCCAAATGCTTTTTCCTGGTTTTCACATTGCTTTTATTAGAGAAAAGCTAAAAAAAAAAAAAATTAAAAAAAGCTGTTTTAAGCACAGTTTGTATCTCAGGTTTATGGAAAACAGGTGAAACTAAACATACTAAGCAGAAGACCTTCATATTGCATTACTCTTCTTATGAACCTCCTCCTTTTTCTTGTCCTTTTTTTTTTTCCCAGTTGGTTCATACCCAGAATAGTGTAGAAGTATCTTTACAGTAGGATGATTTCATTCTGATTTAAGTAAATTTTTAAAAACTGGAGTTCCTTAGTTCTTTAGTATCATGTGATCAGATCTTTTTAGCAAATAATAAAAAAAAATTAGATGTAGAAATGCTATTGTAGGATTTTATACTGTCTGAATTAACAAATATTGACTGCAGATCTTCTGAATTCAGCCTTCACTGAAGTTCCAGTTTGATTTCCCCTTTTTTGCCTCTTGGTATCCTTGAGAGCGTTACTCCCAAACACAATAGTAGCTGAGGTGGTTTCTCGGAAGAAAGGCACACTGGAGGGCAGACAGTGACTGGGCTGTTTTCTCCATTATTCACTGTGCTGTTACTGAAGAGTGTGCTCACCATGTTCAAAAGAATGGAGAAGAATGGAGACACCTATCAAGCTGGTCAGATAGAAAACTTCATTCCTTTCTTTGAAGGCAAATAATACTCTG